CGGAGCCGCTCCCGCTCCTCCGGCCCCCCAGGAGCTGAGGTGGGGGCCTGCGGTCACTTGTGCTCCCCAGGGCTGAATTGGCGCTGCAGCCAGCTGGGTGCTGTGTGTCACCTCTGCCCGTTTTCATCAGAAGCAGCTGTGAGGGTCTTTGTGCCGGCTCTTTTGTTACCTGAGGTGCTGTCAGATCTTTTTTCTCTCAACAGAGGTGGGTCATCCCTGAATTTCTGCAGACTTTGTGCTAGGTGTCTGCGGGAGCTGTTTTGGAGACTCGTGATTTGATGTGGGAATGAGGAGTTCAGGGTGTTGTTTCCAATAGCAGCTCTGCTGAGCTTCCTATTTGCTGGTACTACTAAAGACTTCACATTTAAGTTTTGGCTACTTTGCCTCAAAGCAGAGAATTTGGAATCATAGAATCGTAGAATACAGGAGTCTCCCTTTTCCCTCTGCTTGTGTTGTTCCCACCCCTGAGGAGTCCCTTCCTAGACAGCCTATTTTGTATGCCAAATATGCACTAAAGCTCGTTTTTCTCCTTTCTTTCTTTCTTTCTTTCTTTCTTTCTGTCTCCAATAATTTTCTGCCCTAAGAAACTCTCTACCTTCTGCCCCACACCAAAAGTGATCAGGTGCATGACCAACACCCCTGTGATTGTCCGGGAAGGTGCTACAGTCTATGCCACTGGGACTCATGCGGATGTGGAGGATGGAAAGCTCCTGGAACAACTGATGGCCAGCGTGGGCTTCTGCACCGAAGTGGAAGAGGACCTGATAGATGCTGTAACGGGGCTCAGTGGCAGTGGCCCTGCCTATGTATGTACCACTTCCTCAACTTGTGACAGTCTCGGGGAGAGCAGTGGGCTTTGCATGTGGTGAAACCCTGTGCAACTTCAGTTTGTCATTTCTTGGTTTTGTCACTGCTTATATTCGCCATGGGACATGTAATCCAGGTATCCAGTTTATAACTGGTTTCAGTCAACAACAAAAGTCCATTACCAGTCGGATAAGTCTGAAGTCCATAACCAACCTGCAGTGTCCACATGTCCATATTGCAAAATGTGGGCCTGTAGTAAGTGTGACCCAGAAGCTGAATTTCTCCCATTCTTCCGACTCCTGAGCTGGAACCGGAGGGAAGGAACCCTGGCATGGCACCTGTGCAGTAAAGGGGGAGGCGCAGTAAAGGGGGAGGCCTTTGTCATATCTGTAAGCGACAGGACTCACAGTGTGATCCTGGAGCCCTGGATTTTCTCTTCCCTGAGAATATCAGTCTTGGAGTAGAGATTTTCAGTCACCTTCTTCCTCTGTCTGGTCTCAGGCATTCACTGCCCTGGATGCTTTGGCGGATGGGGGAGTGAAAATGGGACTTCCCCGCAGACTGGCCGTTCGACTTGGAGCACAGGCTTTGCTGGTCAGTATTTCCTCCTCCAGAACACATTTGAGTCTGCGCCTGCTCTGTGCAGAGTATTCTGCACGTCATGGTTTGAAATTCTCTTGGTCCTTTTACTGAATCTGCTTTAAAAACCATGTTTGGTTTGACCGCACACAGGTTCCCGGTGAGGGGACGTAGGCAGTGTCCGCAGCAATCTGCTGGCGCTGATGGTGATGTGGGACGTGGGGCCTGGGGAACCGTGACTCCTCTGCAGGCTTTTTCAGCTCTGAAAAGTGTTTTGGCAGCCTGCTAATGTCTCTTGGGCAGGAGCCCAGTTTTGCCCACTGTGAGTGTTAGGTGCCACTCTGTGCAGTGGAGAACAGGAGTGTTTGACAGTCGGTTCCTCAGTCAAAGCTCTGGTGGCTGCTTTCTCTTCCTCGCTACAGGGTGCTGCTAAAATGCTGTTAGAATCTGAGCAGCATCCTGGTCAGCTGAAGGACAACGTCTGCTCGCCCGGAGGAGCCACCATCCATGCCTTGCACTTCCTAGAGAGCGGTGGCTTTCGTTCACTCCTGATCAATGCTGTGGAGGCTTCCTGCATCCGGACAAGGTGGGTGTCTAGGAAGTCCTAAAGAGCCTGCAAAACTTGCCCCCCATACTCCCTGTCCCTTCCTTTTGCTATGTCTTTCTCTCCCACCATCTCATTGCAGGGAGCTGCAGCATATGGCAGACCAAGAGAAGATCTCTCTAGCAGCCATAAAGAAGACTTTGTTGGATAAAGTGAAGCTGGAGTCTCCTTCTCTGTCAGTGGCATCTGCCGGCAAAGTCAGTCTGTTCACCAGTAAGAGCCCCAGCAGCAAGAAGAACTGACCAGACTGCTGTAGTCTGGCTGTGCTGAACATCAGTCTCCTCCGTGCGCTTTCTTTTTCGTCTAAGGAAAAACGTTCACTCTGAATGTTGGTGTCCCCCATACCCGGCTCTTGGCTTGCAGCAGCTGTGAGGCAGGGCAACGCTGTAGAAGAGTGTCTTTAACCTGTAGTGGGGTTGGTGCAAACTGGCCCTGGTATTTCTGTTCTCTGTTGGGCAGGGGTGATACTATCATCAGAGCTTCACCAAGGGCGTAATTTGTCCAGAAGCCTTGGATACTTCCAGGACTCAGGCAGTGTTTGTGGTTTCCCATGCAGAAATGTTTTTTTAAGAGGATTTTTAAAGGGGTTTCAGAATGCCTTTTGGTCTCAAAGGCTTGAACCAGGCCTGGATCCTTCTTGCCCCAGCTTGTGTGTGCTGTCAGAGCTTGTGTCTTGTTGCTGTCTTTATTAGCTGGAGCAGATGCTGTCACACAAATGCAGTGCTGCACACGACGTTAGAGGCTGGGCCCTAAAGCACCTCTCAGAAGGGACCAAAGTGCTCCTGCACCATCTCTTGTCTACTTTGACTTTGAGAGACAGATGGTGTGAACCTCTGGACCACACTCTCTCTTTCTGCCAGCTGCCCCTTCTCTCTGCTCTGTCCAGTTTGGGGAACTGTGGACTGCTGTCACTGTCCATCCTTCACCGCTCGCCTGGCTTGGGTGGTTGGGCAGGTGGAGGGGTAGCGAGTGCTTCTTTTTCCCTCTGACACCTCTTCATGCTCCTCAATGGCAGAATCTGCTGCCACATGCCCATGGATAGTTTTCAGTGCCACTGTGCTCCCTGATGCTCTCCTTCCTCTTTGCACGGCTCCTGGGGCAGCTGGGAGCAGAGCTGAAGTTAAGGACAACCTCCAGAGAAAGCTGCCTTCTGTACTCTTCTCTTCCACTCAAGCAGGGTTTTGTACCCAGGCGCTGAGCTACTGAGTGGCAGCAGGACTCTCCCCTAGCACCTTTCCTTGCATCAGGCTGTACCTCCTTGGACTGCAGAGTTGATGCCTGTTGGCAGTGGCTGCTCTGCCTCGGCTTGTGCAGTCCAGCTTTGTTGTGGTGGGCTGTTTGTCCCTTCCAGACAGCATTTCTCCCAGCAGAGCCCCTGGGCTGGTGAAATCCAGCACAGCGTCTCTCAGTGTCACCTTATGGTGGACACAGTTATGTCTCTGGTGTTTCTAGACCGTTTATTTTTTTCTTCCTGTTTCATTGAAGGTGTTGCACTGCTAATGGCCAGAAGGAGAGAACACCTAGAAAAAAGTTCAGGGCTGCTTCATGCAGGTGCATTCCTAGTTCTTTAGAATACAGGACTAAAGGGAAACACTCAGTCATCTGGTCTGCCTGTGGCTCAGGTCTTGTCCTGTCTCACCTGGCTTGTCCTGCATGAGACCCAGGAGGAACGTCAGTCCCTGCTTGACACAGAGGGGTTCAGGGGGCACTTGAGAACGCCTGATGCCTGTTCAACAAGGATTTGCTTGGTGAAACACATCCAGGTCACTACACTTTTGCAGAGGAGGAAGACCCTTGCTGTTCCGGTCTGGAGAATTTCCCAAGTCAGACTCAAATTTATGAGCAAGAAACAGCAGACAAGTGTGGGGTCTAGGAGCAGTGGTCCCTTCTGCCCCTGAAACTCCGGTATTTGTGAGGGAAGGAATCTGGCCAGGGCTGTGGTAGCAGCAAGCAGAGAGGGTGGCCCTGGTCAACCCTTCCTGGTGGCCGGCACAGCCCCGAGCATGAGGCCAGGTGTGAGCAGGGCAACACTGCACCTTGCTGCCCTGGGCCTATTGTGGAAAAGGATGAATGAGGGTGGTAGAGAAAGGGCAGGAGGGATCAATGCTCTGATCAGACAGAAGGTGCATCACAGCCCGTTGTCTAGAAGGATGGTTAACCTTCAGACACAGTCTTGGTAGCCAGCCCCAGAACAGCAGCAAAGAGAAGATTGCATCTACTGCTTTCTGTGACTTCTTTACAGCCCTGCGTGCCTTCCTTGCCTCTATTGTGCCAGACCTTGAGTCCTGTCCCAAGACAGAAAACTGCATGGAGTATGCCAGCTGCCCGTACCACTTTTACGGGGCTGCAGTGGGAGCAACGGGCTGCAGGGGATGGAATGGATTTGGGTGTTCACTGTCCTGCTGTGTTCTGCCTTGGGGTATACTGCGGGAGTGCTGGTAAAAGGAGGACGTTTAAGATGGGCTTATTGTCTCCTGAGGAATCCTGGACCTGCAGGTAATGCAGAAAAGCATTTCAGTATTGATGCAGAGGCTGCCGTAGATGCTAGTAGTGTTAAAGCATTTTTAGCGTTAGGCCTTCAGCTGGTAGCAGGGTATGACTCTATAGGCATGACAGTTATTCCTCTTCCCTCTATGTAATAAACTTCCCTGACAGAGACCTGTGGCTCATCCTGGCTGTTCAGACTGGGTGTATCTTTTGCCTCACAGTGGCCATTGACTCCTTGCTACCCGCAGCAAGTGTGCTTGAGGTGTGCTGCAAACCTGTCTTTGATGATGGTTTGTCTGAGTGTGGGACTGGGAAGTGTATTAACCTGGTTTTCCTTGTCACCCAGGCTTCCTGAGCAACAACACAAAAGATATTCTAGTTTTGAGAGATACAAAGAGAAGGGAAGGAGGAAAGCCTGAGTATCCTGACCCTTTAGGCTTTATAGTGGTTCTGCCACTGCATATAAGATTCCATGAGAGGCAAATGGGTGCCGTGTGTTCCTCCATGTCCCCACTCAGAAGCTGTGAATATCCTGTGCAGCCAGGCCGAGCTGGAAGTCAGATGGCTTAAGTCCTGGCTGATGCAAAATGAAAAGGAGCATGGCAGAAAGAGATTCCGCTTGGCTGATAAAGTGCAGTGCAGAATAAAAGGACAGCTGAGCTTGAGCCCCTCCACAGGGAGTCTTAGACTGCTCCAACATACCTGCAGAGAGGCAGATCTGTGCATGAACTTCGTAGATGTGTGTAGACCTGTTCTGAGCTGGCTGCCACAGCAGGTGGAAAACCTGGTATGTCAAGGGCTACAGAAGAGCTCTACAGGACTCGAGTTCACGTCCCCTGCATGCACAGCAGAGAACAGCAGTGCTCCTGCTCAATGCTCAGGGCCCAGACTTTTCCTCCTAAGGAGCATGCTTTCTCCGTGATGTTGCCTTAACTCCTGTATGCCCAGTTTCATTGCTGCACCTTCCACTTGTCACTCATCCTTCTCTGCTGTACTCATCAGCCCTGCTTTGCTTGTAGCAATACAGTGGGCACCAGTATTCCTGTTATGGACCCACAGTTCCAGCAGAACAGGTGGAAAGCTGGAGCAAGCCAGGCATGATCTGGGAGAGCAGCATTTCGTGGCGGAAGAGCCAGCCCTGGTTTCAGCGCTCTTCGGCCCTGTCAGCAGCGCCTGCAAGAGCTG